GGATTGCTCAAGGTCAGGAGTTCAGAACCAGCCTGAGCAAGAGCGAGACCCCATCTCTACTATAAATAGAAAGAAATTAATTGGCAAACTAATATATAGAGAAAAAATTAGCGGGCATGGTGGCACGTGCCTGTAGTCCCAGCTACTCAGGAGGCTGACGCAGGAGGATTGCTTGAGCCCAGGAGTTTGAGGTTGCCGTGAGCTAGGCTGACGCCACGGCACTCACTCTAGCCTGGGCAACAAAGCGAGACCCTGTCTCAAAAAAAAAAAAAAAAAGAGATAGGGAACTTAATAATGTTTCCCCTTAATTGATCTACTCACATCACATGATGAATTGAGCCATCCATTCATTTATTCAAAGGTAGTTATTGGTTGTTCTTTATATGCCAGTACTGTCCTAGGTGTTGGGAGTATAGCAGGGAATAAAAGGATTAAAATTTATGTCCTCATACTTATATTCTAGAGAGTGGAGTCAGACAGTAAGTAAAATACATGGTATGACAGACAGTAATAAGTGCCATTGAGAAAAATAAAACAGGCTGGTTGTGGTGGCTCACCCCTGTAATCCTAGCACTTTGGGAGGCTGAGGCAGGAGGATCACTTGAGGCCAGGAGTTCGACACCAGCCTGAGTGAGACCTTGTCTCTATTAAAAAAAAAAGGAAAAGAAAAAGAAAAATTAGCCAGGTGTGGTGGCAAGTGCCTATAGTTCCAGCTACTTAGGAGGATTGTTTGAGCCTAGCAGTTTGAGATTGCAGTGAGCTATGATGATTCCACTGCATTCTAGCTCTGGGTAATAGAGTGAGACCTTATCTCAAAAAAGAAAAAAAAAAAATAAAAACAAGTAATGGGAGTTTGGGATGGGAGAGTAGATCTTGAGATTTTAAATAGGGTGATCAGGAAATACTATACTGAGAAGGTAATATTTGGATAAAAACTACAAGAAATGAGTGACTGAGCCACACATACCTAGAGGAAGAGTGATCCAGGCAGAGAATTCAAGTGCAAAGGCCCTGGGTCCAGAACATGTGTGGTGAGTTTGGGGCATGGAAAGGGGTCAGTGTGGCTGATGTGAGGTGAGCCAGATGTAAAATAGCAGGCCAGATTATGTAAGGACTTACTACTTTGGCTTTTACTGTGTATGCAATGGAAATCTTTAGAGGATTTTGAGCAGAGGAATGACATGATCTGATTTATATTTTCAAAAAATCATCTGACTATTGTGTTGAGACTACTGTGTGTTTCCTCAGGGAGACAAGAGGATCAGTCAGGAGACTATTACAGTCATCCAGTGAAGAGATGAGATGGCTTGGACTAGGGTGATAGCAGATAAGGTGGTGAGGAGTGTGACGACTAGATGTATTTTGAGGGTAGAAATAAGACGATTTGCTAATAGATTGGATGTGAGTTTAGAGAGCAAGAGAAAGGTCAAAGATGACTTCTACCTGGGAGGCTTAGGCAGGAGGATTGCCTGAGACCAGGAGTTTGAGGTAGCAGTGAGCTATGATGATGCCACTGCATTCTAGTCTGGGTAACAGAGTGAGACCGTGTCTCCAAAAAGAAAAGAAAGACTTCCAAGGTTTTTTTTTTTCTTTTCTTTTTTGAGACAGAGTCTTGCTTGGTTGCCTGGGCTAGAGTGAGTACTGTGGGGTCAGCCTAGCTCATAGGAACCTCAAATTCCTGGGCTCAAGCAATCCTCCTGCCTCAGCCTCCTGAGTAGCTGGGACTACAGGCACAAGCCACCACACTTGGCTAATTTTTTGTTTCCATTTTTAGTTGACTGGCTAATTTTTTCTATTTTTAGTAGAGATGGGGTCTCGCTCTTGCTTAGGCTGGTCTTGAACTCCTGACCTCAATCGATCCTCCCGACTCGGCCTCCCATAATGCTAGGATTACAGGCGTGAGCCACTGTGTCCAGCTGACTTCCAGGCTTTTTGGCCTAAACAACTGCAGGGATGGTGTTGTCATTTATTGAAGTGGGGCACAATACAGATGTATCTGATTTTAGGGGGAAAGAGAAGAAATTTAGTTTGGGGGATGTGAAATTTAAGATACGCCTATTGATACTGACATGTAGATATGAGTATATAATTGGATATACAAATCTGGAATTCAGTAGGGAGATTTGGGCTGTTAATGTATATTTGGGAATTACCAATTTATGTATGGTATCTAAAACCACAATACTGGCTGGGCGTGGTGGCTCACGCCTGTAATCCTAGCACCCTGGGAGGCCTAGGTGGGCGGATTGCTTGAGGTGAGGAGTTCGAAACCAGCCTGAGCAAGAGTGAGACCCCGTCTCTACTATAAATAGAAAGAAATTAATTGGCCAACTAATATATATAGAAAAAATTAGCTGGGCATGGTGGCGCATGCCTGTAGTCCCAGCTACTCGGGAGGCTGAGGCAGAAGAATTGCTTGAGCCCAGGAGTTTGAGGTTGCTGTGAGCTAGGCTGATGCCATGACACTCACTCTAGCCTGGACAACAAAGTGAGACTGTCTCAAAAAAAAAAATAATAATAATAAAACTGTGATACTAGATGAGACCACTGAGAGTATGAATGACTATAGGGAAATCAAGAGGTCCAGGGCCTGAATCTTGGAATTGAAAAGGAATCAGCAAAGGAGACTGATAAGGAGTGGCCAGTGAGATAAGAAGAAAACCAGGACCATGTGATGCTCTGGAAGCTAAGGGAAGAAAGTATTTTAAAGATCAGCTGAGTCAAACGCTGCTAATAGGTTAATAATTAAGGTAAGAACCAAGAATTGACCACTTAAGGTTGGTAAGGTTTCCTATTCTTAGATCACATAGGTAGATTTGTAAAGTAGGGTGTCATTTCTGGTCTCATTAGTAATGTGTCTGAAAAATAATACTGAGTTTTTTTAAATGAAGAAATCACTAATAATTTGGAGTAAGAAACATTCTTCTGGTCTGTTAGTATGTAATACATTGCTGAGTAAGTCATGTATCTGGGTGGTTTAGTGAGGATCTGGGATTCATGATGTCAAGGAGCACATTCTGTTCTTGGAGGAGGATCCAATACCACCTAGGAAGGACTCAGCAGCTAGGTGCCACTTGTTGCCACCTTTGATTTTATTCTCTGGACATTGTATTAATCAGGGTTCAGGTATAGGCAAAAATGGAGAAGATAGATGTATTTAATTACACCAAAAGAAAAAACTGTGCATTAGAATACACCATAACCAAGATTAGTAGACTAGGAGAAGATATTTGCAACAAGTAATACTTACAAAGAACCCAGAAGGACTAAATGTAGTTAGATTAAAATTTACCAGTCTGACAGTATTAATTTTTGAAAAGAATATGAGAAAGTTTATATTGTGTACTGGTGGAAGTATAAGTTGGCATTGTCTCTTTATAATAGCAAAACAAACAAACAAACAAACAAACAAACAAAAACAACAACAAAAAAGAGACTGACAAAACTTTTGTCAATAAAGAAATCGATAAATAGATGTACTAGGTTTGTGTATATTATCACGGCTAGATCTCAGAAACAATGCTGAATAAAAAACCCCACAAAATTCAGTGTGATACTTTCTATATAAACCAAAAGTACACATACATACACACAAAAGTATACTATGCATTATTTAGGGATTATATGTGTAAAAGTATTAAAAACAGGAGGTTATGCAACAAACTCATGATACTGAGTGGCTGATAGAGAGTAGAGCAATCTTTGCTGGGTGCAATGGCTCATGCCTATAATCCCAGCACTTTGGGAGGCCAATGCAGGAGGATCACTTGAGGCCAGGAGTTCGAGACCAGCCTTGGCAACACAGTGAGATTCCATCTCCACAAAAAATTTTTAAAAATTAACCAGGTATGGTGGTGCGTACCTGTAGTCCTGCCTACACAGGAGGCTGATGTGGGAGGATAACTTGAGCCCAGGAATTTGAGGTTACAGTGAGCTATGATTGTGCCATTGCACTCCAGCCTAGGCGACAGAGCAACACACTGTTTATTAAAAAACAAAGCAAAACACATTTGTTCTATGCCTTAATGGAATGATTAGATCAAAATGTGGGGCATAAATAGGGCCTATTATATTTTTTTTTGGGGGGGGCCTATTATATTAATACAAAGAGGATGGTGAGGTGATAGAGTGTGAGCGTGGGCAGTCTTGAACAGGGCAGTCTTGAATAGGAGTGTGTAGACTGGAAATAAACCTGGTGGGATGTTTATTTCTGGGTGTTAGACACAGGTTTGGGTTGTATCCTTTGTACTTTTTGGTAATTTTATATTAGCTGATAAATTTAAAAGAGGGAATCCAAGTTTCATAGGATGAGCCCCCAGGGAATTATTTGCCAATTCATATGTAACTTATCCTTTTTCACCTAAACATATACTTCTGTCTGTAACTGTATTATGTTAATTCTGACTATGGGTTCTCCTAATGTGTCCTTGACAGCATCACAATCAGGTGTAGGATTAAGGATCATTATTTTTTTTTTTTTTTTTTTTGAGACAGAGTCTCGCTTTCTTGCCTAGGCTAGAGTGAGTGCCGTGGTGTCAGCCTAGCTCACAGCAACCTCAAACTCCTGGGCTCAAGCGATCCTGCTTCCTCAGCCTCCCGCGTAGCTGGGACTACAAGCACGAGCCACCATGCCCGGCTGATTTTTATATTATATATATTAGTTGGCCAATTAATTTCTTTCTGTTTTTATGGTAGAGACGGGGTCTCACTCAGGCTGGTTTTGAACTCCTGACCTTGAGCAATCCGCCCGCCTCGGCCTCCCAGAGTGCTAGGATTACAGGCGTGAGCCACCGCGCCCGGCCTTAAGGATCATTATTAACACAGATTCTTACTCTTGATTTTTTTTTTCTTTCTATTACTATCTACAGCCATATCAATCCATGGAAAGCACATTTGGTTCCATAGCTATCAGCATGGAGATGCTAGCCTGACAGACTAGAATGTGTAGAAGCTTAATAACCGCATTGCACTTTTTCTCTTGTCTAACCTTTTCTCTACAGGGAATCTTTAACCAGTTTCAATGTAGTAGTGAAAAAGTGCTTCCATCTGACACTCTCCGCAGTGCTCTGGCAAAGACTTTCCAGGATGAACAACGTTTCCAGCTGGGAATTATGGATGATGCTGCGGAGTGCTTTGTAAGTGCTGGCCTCTGGCCCTCTTTGATATGGGGTGGGACTGTTGATGGTCTCAGGGACTGGCTACTTTAAGGTGGAATTTAGTGTGTCCTTACCTTTGCAGTTAGAACTAGGAGGGGTTTTTATAGTTTTTCAGAGCTCTAAAGTGTCTTTTATTATAGTGTAAATTGCCTAAAGGATTTATTATTTTTTTCCTTTAGGCTTAGGGTTGTTTTGTGCTTGACATTGTCCAAAACAGTAGCTCTTACCTTTAGAGTAGCCAGGGCTCATTAAAATACAAATTGCTGGGCTGTACCTCTAGAGTTTCTGAATCAGCAGGCCTGGTGCGGAGCCCCAGAATGTTCATCTCTAACAAGTTTCCAGGTGATGCTAATACTGATGCTGCTGGTCTGGGGACCACACTTTGATAACTCCTCCATTTCTAAAGATAATTAAACAGGGAATAACTGAGTCCCTAGCACAAGTGTGGGTATGCTATATATTAATAGATAACCACCTTGTCCCTAGTGCCCCTGATTCTTCTGAACTCTGTATTCTATCCATCAATGTTTAAAAGATTCTCTATCCATTTAGAAAATCTGAGAGTGATATACATCCCATCACAGGGCCAAAATTAGAGGTACTTCTGAGAAACTGGATCACTGATACATTGCTGGTGGGAATGTAAAATGGTGTAGCCAGTCTGGAAAACCATTGGTCAGTTTCTTTAAAAACTAAACATGCAGGCCAGGCGTGGTGGCTCATGCCTGTAATCCTGGGAGGCCAAGGCAGGAGGATTGCTCAAGGACAGGAGTTTGAGACCAGCCTGAGCAACAGCGAGACCCGTCTCTACTAAAAATAGAAAGAAATTAATTGACCAACTAAAAATGTATATACAGGCCGAGTGCCGTGGCTCACACCTGTAATCCTAGCACTCTGGGAGGCAGAGGTGGACGGATTGCTCGAGGTCAGGGGTTCGAAACCAGCCTGAGCAAGAGCGAGACCCGTCTCTACTATACATAGAAAGAAATTAGCCAAACAATTAAAAATAGAAAAAAATTAGCCGGGATGGTGGCATGTGCCTTAATACCAGCTACTCGGAAAGCTGAGGCAGAAGGATTGCTTGAGCCCAGGAGTTTGAGGTTGCTGTGAGCTAGGCTGATGCCATGGCACTCTAGCCCAGGCCACACAGTCAGACTCTGTTTCAAAAAAAAAAAAAAAAAAAGAACATTCTTGAAATAACAATGATAGAGATGGGAGAATAGGTTAGTGATTGCCTAGGAGTTAGGGGTGGGGTTGGATGAGTAAGGCTCTATAGGGGTAGCATGAAGGAGTCTTTGTGGTGATGGAACTGTTCTATATTGATTGTGGTGGTGGTTACCGTGTTTCCCCAAAAATAAGACCTACCCACAAAATAAGCCCTAGCAGGATTTCTAAGCATTTGCGCAATATAAGCCCTACCCGGAAAATAAGACCTAGTGATGGGTGTGGCTACGCAGCCTATCTGCACAACCCATGCATTTCGTAATGGAGCGGTAAAGAAGACTAGCAGCCTTTCTCATCTGCCTCGTCGTGACAGCTACTATCCCAGAGGTGACGGGAAAAGTGCTGGCAGCCCCACCAACAAGGTTGGCTCCCCTTGTCAGGTCCCGACCATCCTATACGTGCTGCAAGCTGACGCTTTGAGGGGAAAATAACACATCCCCTGAAAATAAGCCCTAGGGTATCTTCTTGAGGAAAAATAAATATAAGACCCTGTCTTATTTTCGGGGAAACACGGTACATGACTGTAACATGTGATAAAATTGCGTGGAGCCACTCATACACACAATGCATACATACACAAATGAGAGCATGTAAAACTGGTGAAATCTGAATAAACTCTGTGGATTATATCAATGTCCCTTTCTTCGTTTTGATAATGTATTATAGTTAGGTAAGAGGTTACTGTTGGAGGAAACTAGGTTATTGTTGGAGGAAACTGGGTAAAGGATACATGGGACCTCTTGTACATTTTTTGAAACTTGCTGTGAATTTATAATTATTTCAAAGTAAAAAGTTAAAAAAAAAAAATCTGAAGTATTTCTACCTTCCAGAAAGGCTGCTGTTTCTCTGGGTAAGCTGCTTACCGATTTGTATATTTATCTGTTAAGTATTATTGGTGTACTTTTTTGTTCTTTCCCTGTCAGGAAAACCTCCTGATGAGAATTCACTTCCACATTGCTGATGAAACCAAAGAGGATATATGTACTGCCCAACACTGCATTTCCCACCAGAAATTTGCAATGACATTGTTCGAGCAGGTGAACCCTACCTCTATCCCCATCTTTTCTTAGTCCTCTTCTTCAAGAACACTTTATCCTGGGTTGTGGGGTGTTAAATGGGTGCCCAAACAGTTCATGACTGTGGCTTCTTGGTTTTGCTTTTTTCTCCCTGGTTCAGTGTGTATGTACTAGCTGTGGCGCCACATCTGATCCACTGCCTTTCATCCAGATGGTACATTATATCTCTACTACTTCCCTTTGGTGAGTCTTACAGGGGTCTCTACTGTACCCTTAGGCACTCCTCCAGTTGATTGAGTTTTAACTGAAGGCATTCAAATAGCTGATAGCCTTATTGCTGAGTCTATGCTATATAGTGGATACTCAGAACAGTACTTTTAAAATAACTTTTGGCCGGGTGCAGTGGCTCACGCCTGTAATCCTAGCACTCTGGGAGGCCGAGGCGGGCGGATCGCTCAAGGTCAGGAGTTTGAAACCAGCCTGAGCAGGAGTGAGACCCCATCTCTACTATAAATAGAAAGAAATTAATTGGCCAACTAATATATATAGGAAAAAATTAGCCGGGCATGGTGGTGCATACCTGTTGTCCCAGCTACTTGGGAGGCTGAGGCAGGAGGATTGCTTGAGCCCAGGAGTTTGAGGTTGCTGTGAGCTAGGCTGACGCCATGGCACTCACTCTAGCCTGGGCAACAAAGTGAGACTCTGTCTCAAAAAAAAAATAAAAAAATAACTTTTGTTCTCCTTCTTTCCTTTCCCATGCCTCCCCTTTTCTTTGGCTCAGTTATGGAGGAATTGGGATTTTATGAGCTTTGGATTTTGGGATAGGTAGAGGTACTCATTGTGTTTGTGAGATACTAAGCCTGGTCAGAACAAGGGGCTTTGGTATAGTGAGCAGAGGAAGAAAGTCAAACATGTAAGTTAGGAGTTTACATGAATGGTATATTTGATTTAGCAGTAACTCAGTACATCTCCCACTATCATCCCCCTTCCATTCTCCATCTTGAAGCAATCAGGCTATTTGTATGCTGGAAAGAAGAGAAAAACCTTCACCAAGTATGTTTGGTGAGCTGCTACAGAATGCCAGTACCATGGGGGATTTGCGGAACTGCCCGGTGAGTTAAATAGGGTTGGGATTTTGAGTAGGAAGGGGAATCCTGGGATTAGTGGAATTGAGGCAGGGCCAATTCAGGAAACTTGTTGAACTAGCCTTATATGTGTATTTCAGAGCAACTGTGGAGAGAGGATCCGAATTCGCCGAGTATTGATGAATGCTCCACAGATTATCACAATTGGGCTGGTATGGGACTCGGACCACTCAGACTTGGCAGAGGATGTTATCCACAGCCTGGGTACTTGCCTGAAGCTTGGTGATGTGCGTGTTAATTACCTAATTACCTTTTCTCTGCTGTAAGAGTTCTTGTGTCTTAATATTGGTTAAGGCCAGTGAGAACTGAATGAACAGGCATGTCCTAGATGACAAGTATTTATACTCATTATGAGTTTATACCAGTATACAGTAGGGAAGTGTATTCAACTATGGGAGGTTTAAGGTCAAAGGAGTGGACAATCCTGACTAGAAACCCACTATGGAATGTGAAAGAAATAAAAGTTGATGACCTGAGCCCCAAAATAGGAAATTCACAGTGAGGAATCAATGTCTGTTGAGAAGATAATGAAGCTGCTTGGAAGAGAATTTAGTGGCTCAGTGGTTTTCTGTACATCTATTCAGAGAAACAAACAGGGAAAAAGACTTTAGACCCGAGTCTCTACCTTATTAGCTCCATGCCCCAGTATAGGGACAGCCAGGATTTTCCTTCAGTTCAAGAGAAGAACCAGAAACTCTGTGGTTTTCTTTCTACTGGTTTTCCCCTGGGATAATCCTATGACTAAGGAGAGCTTTCATTGTTGTTTTTTAATGTCATTAAGCCACAATTGAGAATAAATGAACTATATGGGATCTTATTTTAGGTTTACTTCCTAAGGAATCTGACCGGATTAGGATGTGGACAATGAAATCTTCTTTTTTCTAAATTCCTGTAGCCTATATATTCTGTACTGTAATAGTTTAACTTTTTGTTTTTTTTTTTTTGAGACGACTTTGTGCCCAGATAGAGTGAGTGCCGTGGCGTCAGCCTAGCTCACAGCAACCTCAAACTCCTGGGCTCAAGCAATCCTCCTGCCTCAGCCTCCAGAGTAGCTGGGACTACAGGCATGCGCCACCACACCTGGCTAATTTTTTCTATATATATTAGTTGGCCAATTAATTTCTTTCTATTTATAGTAGAGATGGGGTCTTGCTCTTGCTCAGGCTGGTTTGGAACTCCTGACTTGAGCAATCGCCGCCTCGGCTCCAAGAGCTAGGATTACAGGCGTGAGCCACAGCGCCCGGCCATGGTTTAACTTTTGATTGTTTTCTCAACCAAATAAGTTTGTCAAAGCCAGAATCCTTTTCTTCAGAAGAAGTTTTTTTTATGTCTGTTAGTACTTAGGACTATGTTGGGCACCTAGAAATTGAAAAGCTGATAAACCAGCATGGCTATATTGTTCCTCCTTAGGGTTTTCTTACCCCCTACTTAGGTTCTCGACAGGAAATGTTGTTTATGGGGCCAGCTGATAAAAAGCCTTTGAAACTAGAAAGAGTTGGTTTTTTGTTTTGTTTTATTTTGTATTATTTATTTATTTTTTGAGACAGAGTCTCACTTTGTTGTCCAGGCTAGAGTGGAGTGCCGTGGCGTCAGCCTAGCTCACAGCAACCTCAAACTCCTGGGCTCAAGCATACCTGCTGCCTCAGCCTCCCGAGTAGCTTGCGACTACAAGGCCATGTGCCACTATCCCGGCTTTAATTTTATATATATGATAATCAGTTTGGCCATAATATTCTCTTCGTGTTTTATAGTAGAGAACGGCGGCTTCGCGCTCTGTTCCAAGGCTGGTTTTTTGAATCCTGACCTTGAGCAATCCGCACGCCTCGGCTTCCAAGAAGCTAGATTACAGGCAAATGAAGCCAGCAGCCGCCGGCCTGTTTTTTTTTAATATTTTATTATTTATTAATTTTTTGAAGACAGAGTCTTCACACTTTGTTTGCCCAGGCTAGAGCTGGAGGCCCATGGGCGTGCACCCTAGCCTCACAGCCACCAAACTCTGGCTTCTGATCTACTTGCCCCTTCAAAAGCCCTCCCGAGTAGCTGGGACTATAGGCATGTGCCACCATGCCCGGATAATTTTTTCTCTATATATTAGTTGGCCAATCAATTTCTATTTATAGTAGAGACAGGGGTCTCACTCTTGCTCAGACTGGTTTTGAACTCCTGACCTTGAGCAATCCGCCCGCCTCGGCCTCCCAGAGTGCTTTTTTTGTTTTAACTTTCCTGGCTCCTCTTATGATGGGACGCAGTAAGAAAATATTGTTGAAAGGTATGTTATCTGGGCATAATGGCTTGCACCTGTAGTCCCTGCTACTTGGGAGCCTGAGGTAGGAGGCTGCAGTGTGCTGTGATTGCACCACTGTACTCCAGTCTCGGTGGGAGGAGGAGACCCTGTCTCTAAAAAATTTAAAAATAAAAAAAGGTATGAAGAAACATCACACCTGCAAGTTTACTGGCCATTATCCATCTTGCTTTTCCCTACTTTTTGCTTTTGTAGGTTAATTTCTGATGATTAGACTAGCAAAATACCTTAGACTGGAGTGAGAAGCAAGTCATTGCCTTAATTAAGAAATGTTGATGGAATCTGGGGCTGAGAGATGATGTGAGATGATTATCTGACTGTTCTTTCCTTTCTATTCTTTCCTCACAGCTGTTTTTCAGAGTGACAGATGACCGGGCCAAGCAATCTGAATTGTACTTAGTTGGAATGATCTGTTACTATGGCAAACATTATTCTACATTCTTTTTTCAAACAAAGATCCGCAAATGGATGTATTTTGATGATGCTCATGTCAAGGAGGTAGGAATATGCAAGCCTTCTTGAAGTGTTTGGTGACTATGACAAAAAACCAAGGATAATTATTTGTCTTCAGTATTTATGCCCCCAAAAGCTCTATAAGACATAGTATATACTTTATATTTTTCTGTCATTGAATTTATGAGGGTATTAGTCTTTTTTTTTTTTTTTTTAAGAGACAAAGTGTTGCTCTGTTGCCCAGGTTGGAGTGCCGTGGCAAGATTATAGCTCACTGCAGCCTCCAACTCCTGGGCTCAAGCATCCTCCTGCCTTAGCCTCCCAAGTAGCTGGGACTACAGGCATGCACCACCATGCCTGGCTAATTTTTTTCTCTATATATTTTTAGTTGTCGGCTAATTTCTTTCTATTTTTAGTAGAGATAGGGTCTCGCTCTTGCTCAGGTTGGTCTCAAACTCCTGAGCTCAGATGATCCACCCACCTTGGCCTCCCAGAGAGCTAGGATTACAGGTGGAAGCCACGGGCCATCATTAATTGTTATTTCCCTGAAGTGTCCTATCACAGATAAACATGTTTTTTGGGATTGTGTAGGAAAAGTAGGGCTATAATTATACTTAAAGCTGGAAACTTGATACTATGTAAACCACAGTGTCTGGGGCTGAAGTAGTTTAGGTTATCTGCAAGAGTTAGGAAGCCCTTATGATAAGGTTAGCAGCAAGGGGGACATGGTATGACTATAACCTATACCAATCCATGCATGGACTTTAAGCAGTATGTTCCACAAATAATAAAGTCTTTGTCAAATTCCCTCATTAGTTTCTTCTTTGTATCTTTTGTGCTGTTGTAATTTGGGACAATTTATATAAGTTCTTCGAACTTTAGGTTTTTCATTTGAAAAAATACCCTTACAAGGTATTAAATAAGATATACATGTGAAAAGCATATAAATATTTTTTAATTAAAATGCTGGTAATTCAGTTAAAAATATACTGAACTATTATGAACAAATCACTATGCTAGTTGTTCAACTCTAAGAGCACATCATCTAAGAAACGTGACTGGTTCAAGCTCCTCAAATGGGGTGAGTTTGGGGGTTTGGTTGGATTGTTTCCTTGTCTGTTCTGTCAGTCTTTTACACTGTGGTTGCAGGGTTGTATCCAGCACACGGCTAAGGCCGAGAAGTTCAGCTGTCTATTCTAAGCAGTTTGACATTTTGTGTCCTGCCATGTGTGAACTCTGAAAGCGAAAGTCATGTATTCTGAGGCAGTCTATCTGTAAGAGAGTTTCTGTCTGCTTTTCAGCTTTATTAAAGTGATTTTAATATTTAGGAGGAAATTATGGAAATGCAAATTTCTAGTGAGGTCTTCAACATGAAGTCTGTCAGAAGAAATTGGTCACCAAGGCTGCTGTATTTCCTTCACATAGCATATCCCCTCTGAGAACTTTTATTTATATTTTACAACCGAGTTGATGTTTCACAGAAATAAAAATAATTTTATTCATCCTTCCTTTCTCTTAAAAGGATTTTAATGCTTTCTAAAAGGATTTTGCAAAATAATAATAATAATAATAATAATAGTAAATGTGTTGAGGTCGAAGATCCCTTTTGTTGTCTGTTTTTCCAATTCTTATCTTTTCATCTCTTCTATGTCCTTTAGAAAAGCAGAACAAGAAGATATGTTTTGAATTGTAGATGTGAAGTATAATTGTCATGTTCTTCTGGTTGTTTCTGGTTCAGATTGGGCCCAAATGGAAGGATGTGGTGACCAAATGCATCAAGGGGCATTATCAGCCCTTGCTACTGCTTTATGCAGATCCCCAGGGTACCCCAGTGTCCACCCAGGATCTGTTTCCCCAAGCTGAGTTCCAGTCATACAGCAGGATGTGCTATGACAGTGAAGATTCAGGTGAGCAGCCTACCTCTTTACCTCTGCCCTCCCTCCATCCCATGTGATCAGACAGTTGGGACTCACACTTTTGTGCCTAGCATATAACCTAGCTTGGAGAAGGAGGGCCCATTAGAGGTAAGAAAGAAGTGCCAACTTGTGCTGAAGCCTAACTTACTCATGCTGGGCTTTGTTTTCTTCAGCCTTCGAGAGAGTGTGTTATCTAAATCACTTGGCCCCAACTCAAAACTGAGAAGGAAATTATGTTTAGACTGAGATATCAAGTTTGTAAGGCTTGGTAGTTAGCCTTCTAATACTGGTAAAGATGACTGGTTTTTTTTTTATTAGCAATTTAACAGTGACTTAGTGAATTGTTAAGACAAGAAAAATTATTTGAGTCACTTCAAAGCTGGTTATTTTGCTTGAGATAAAAGATTTTTTAAAAAATTCCAAATGCAGTAGTGATATACATTGGCTTATGAATCAGTTGTTCACTTCTTTTTTTTTTTTTTTTTTTTTTTTTTGAGACAGAGTCTCACTTTGTTGTCCAGGCTAGAGTGAGTGCCGTGGCGTCAGCCTAGCTCACAGCAACCTCAAACTCCTGGGCTTGAGTGATCCTTCTGCCTCAGCCTCCCGAGTAGCTGGGACTACAGGCATGCGCCACCATGCCCGGCTAATTTTATATATATATATCAGTTGGCCAATTAATTTCTTTCTATTTATAGTAGAGACGGGGTCTCGCTCTTGCTCAGGCTGGTTTTGAACTCCTGACCTTGAGCAATCCGCCCGCCTCGGCCTCCCAAGAGCTAGGATTACAGGCGTGAGCCACAGCGCCCGGCCCAGTTGTTCACTTCTTAAGTCAATTGTTTGGAACTTAAATAATGTTTCCCTATAGAAACAATTTTCAGCTTAATGGCTAAACTCTTAGGCTAGCCCACAGAGGCTTATAATATATTTGAATTGTAACGTAATAGTTTTGGCTTGATTTCTGAAAAGGAAGAAGAAGGAATGTTCTTTTAACTCTTCTGGATTTAGGGCTGGCCCTTAGTATAATTTTGAAAGAGAAGATACTTGACTTTAAACCTTTCTCCCTCCCCTTTGTACTTTCCTGCTGCTTGGTACCTGGTGCTTTCTTCCTACTCTTATACCCCACCCAGACCTGGTCTGCTTCTCTCTTCAGTCAAACACCCATTTGTCCTGTTGTGCTTATCTCTGCTGGGAGTTCAGAGGAAAGCAGCCTGATTGAACTAATTCACACTAATGTATTAATATAAATAATAGCCCCATAATTTCTCAGAGATATTAAAATCCATATAATATCAATTAAATTTTTAAAGTGATATTCCCAACAGTACAGGAGAAGATTATGGGATAGGGGAACAACTAGTTATATATGACAGGTTGGCCAGACTTTCCATCTAAATAGGCCTTACTTTTCACTTTTTCATTTCTTCTACTTTCCCCCATAGGTTTTCTAAAAACCCCTACAGTTTTTCACAGTGGCAGGCAAAGTGAGGGCTTCAGCAAGGTAGGGGAAGGGGTGGGAGGAATTTTATGTGTGTCTGGGTTATTTGGAAGTTGGGCATTGGGAAGAATGGCTCTATGGCATATCCTACTCACACTTCCATCTAGGAAGTTCTTGCCTTATGGACCTATGTTGTGTCCATATCTTTTCCTTCTCTCTGCCACCGTTCTCTCTTTCCTTACTTTTGCATATGTGTTTCCTCCTTCCCTCAGGGAGGGAGCCCTCCATCTCAAGTGACACTCGAACAGATTCTTCAACAGAGAGCTATCCCTACAAACACTCTCACCATGAGTCTGTGGTCAGTCACTTCTCTTCTGATTCTCAGGGGACAGTCATCTATAATGTGGAGAATGATTCCATGTCTCAGAGCAGTCGGGACACAGGTAGGGACTTATACAGAGGATAATTTAATTCCTTCATAGAAGGTCTCCCAAGAGAAAGAAACAGGTCAAAGTCAGAAATGTTTGCCATGCAAAGGCAGAAAAGCACAGAATTTGGGTAATTGAGTGGGATACAAAGAAGCAACATAGCTCTGAATGAACAATGATGCTCCATTGCACATACTGCTGTCAATAGCAAATCAGTAAGGACCATTATAATGTGATATTGATGTGATTATTCTAAAGTTTGTTTTTCTAGTGCTGTCCTCTTGATTCCTGTTTTTCCCATAGTGCCCTATTAAACCCTTGTGGTCTTACACCTAGTAACGTTCTTGTGTCAGCCTTTGTCAGGAGTGAAGGGCTTTTAGAGAAAGGGCATATTTATGGGGTAGGGGAGGGATAGCTGCTCATCACCTTGCTAGGCTTCCTGAAGGACAGAGAAGCAAAAGAATGGGAGATAGCCTGTTTGTTATTGTGAGCTCTATGCAGATAATATTCTTGAATTATTTTGTTAGTCTGTAGAAGAAAGTGCCTGTGTTAGAGAAAGAAATAAATATAGGGCATGAAAAGAAAAACAGTGAATAACTATGGAGATGCAGTTCTTTATGGGAAGTAGAACACCTAAGGCATAGGACAGTGCCCATACTCTTAGGGACTTTGGGAATTAGTGAGCTCATTGTTTCAGATGGGTGGTTTATACTCTATGTGTTGGCTTTTTTTATTTTTTAGATCAAGAATTTCAAACATATTTAAAAGTATATAGGATAGTGTACTGCCCCTCTACTTTTTCCTCTCCTGGATTATTTTGAAAAATCTGACATTATGTCACTCTTTTTTTGAGGCAAATTCTCACTCTGTTGCCCTGGCTAGAGTACCATGGCATCAGCCCAGCTCACAGCAACCTCAAACTCCTGGGCTCACGCAATCCTTCTGCCTCAGCCTCCCGAGTAGCTGGGACCACAGGCATGCACCACCATGCCTGGCTAATTTTTTTTTATATATGTTTTTAGTTGGCCAATTAATTTTTTCTATTTTTAGTAGAGACAGGGTCTCACTCTTGGTCAGGCTGGTTTTGAACTCCTGACCTTGAGCGATCCTCCTGCCTTGGCTTCCCAGAGTGCTAGGATTACAGGTGTGAGCCACCACACCTGGCCGTATGTCACTCTTTCTATAAGTATCTTGAATCACTCAAACATAAGAAATCATTTTTTTAAAATAGCATTATAACACTTAAAAGTAGTAATGATAGTTCCATAAAACTACTAAGTAACCAATGAGTGTTCAAATATCCAGTTATCTTATAAATATCATGATATTTTCATGGTTTTGTGTGTTTCACTCAGCATCCAAATGAAGTCTACTCATTGTCATGGGTTGATTAAGTCTTTTACATTTCTTTTATCTATTGGTTTTTTCCCTCTATTTTTTCCTTGCAATTTATTGTTTTTTTGGAGGGCGTGTTATTTGAGATGGGATCTTTCTATGTTGCCCGAGCCTTCTTGGGTAGCTGGGATTATAGGCACATGCTATCATGCCTGGTTTCCTTGTAAAATATTGTTGAAGAAGTAGGTTTTATAGTTTGTCCTGTAGATTTCCCACATTCTGAATTTTACTGATTTCATTCTTATAGTATAATTTAACATGTATTTCTGTTTTCTATTTCTTGTTAATTGGCTGTTGGACCTCAAGGTTTGGTTAGGTTCATGTGGGATTTTTTTTTTTTTTGATGACTATTGCATAGCTTGTGTCAGGCGTGAGTTTTTTTAGATCATATATTTGAAATGGAACCAGGCAGAAGCCAAGCCATAGGATAAAATAGGAGGCATGTTTTCTAGGAGAGTCAGATTGATGTTAATGGTTTGTGGGTTTGGGGGGGAATGGGAGGGAGGAAGAGCATCCCCACTGGTTTAACATTTTTAAGATTTAGTTGCTCCATGTGATTTGCTCCTTTTTTAAATCTTTCTTGTGGACTCAGAGGTAGCAAAGGATCAGATAAAAGCGATAAAAGATTTCATGGGCAATTGATTGAAAATTTGTATCCATATCACTATATTACTGATATCTGAATATGTATAAGAATTTTTATATACTGTCATATGAAAATAAATTTCTGTTAGCTCTCAGTGCATTTGGGAAAATATCTAGGGTTTTTTCCTAAGCCTATCTTCAAACTTAATTCACCTGCTTAATTCATCTCTGGCTTCCAGTAGTTTAGTTGATTATATCCTTTAGAATCTGACCTTTGCTGTTATTGAATCATACTCATATGTGCATACTGTGGGCATGAAGCAGGGCAAGTTATGTAAAAGAGCCCAGCTCTCCTGGGTTTCCCAGTGATTAGTATTAAGGATCTATGAAGTATAATCTCTGGATGAAGCCAAAATTGGTGATGCCTGGGATGGGGATGGGAATGAGAGTTAATCAAAGTTGAAATGTCCTTTTAAATAATCCACATTTTAATTTTTTAGAGACAGGGTCTCACTCTGTTGCCTAGGCTGGAGTGCAATGGCATGAATCATAGCTCACTGAATTCATTGCAGCCTCCAACTCCTGGGCTCAAGTGATGCTCTTGCCCCAGCCTCCCTAGTAGTTAGGGCTACATGCACGTAATTTTTTATTTTTTGTAGAGATGGGGTCTCGCTATGTTGCCCAGGCTAGTCTCAAACTCCTGGCTTCAAGGGATGCTCCCGCCTCAGCCTCACAAATTTCTGGGATTACAGGTGTGAGCCACCACGCCCAGCCTAAATGATCCCCATTTAGGGAAAGTTTAGAACTAGGTATTAAAGCCATATATAATCAGAGCTCTGTGGGCAAAGGATGGGGCATCTAGGATAATACCAGAGGTACTGAAAATCAGGCTTTACTTGGTATGTTTTGCTAAATAAATAAAAGGAAAGCTCTGTCTTCAGCTTATGAGAATGAAAATATATGGTTATATGACATTTTTATATAATTTTTAAAACTTTCGTCTTTTAAAAATTATCTAGAGGCCGGGCATGGTGGCTCACACCTGTAATCCTAGCACTCTGGAAGGCCGAGGTGGGAGGATCGCTCAAGGTCAGGAGTTCGAAACCAGCCTGAACAAGAGCGAGATCCCCATTTCTATTAAAAATAGAAAGAAATTAATTGGCCAACTAAAAATATATAGAAAAAATTAGCTGGGCGTGGTGGTGCATGCCTGTAGTCCCAGCTACTTGGGAGGCTGAGTCAGAAGGATTGCTTTAGCCCAGGAGTTTGAGATTGCTGTGAGCTGGGCTGATGCCACGGCACTTTAGCCCAGGTAACAGAGTGAGACTCTGCCTAAAAAAAAAAAAATATTACCTAGAAATATGTCCTTAGTCCTTCTGGGTCACTGGTGAAGATTTTGAGTAGGATCGAGATTTGTAATTGCTGAGGAGACACTGTAAATTTGGAAGCACTCATTAAATACTTGGGCTTCTCTGCATTTATCTACTGAGAGATATCCTACATTTAAATCAGTTAGCCATGGTCCCTACACCTGATCTAAGATACACTAAATTTGTGGCACTGCCATGAATCCCAAAGGGAGTTTAGGTTCTCAGAAGGATGAGGGTCAGTCTCAGATACCAGCTTACCCTCATTTCCTTGTTCTTTCAGGACACCTGACTGATAGTGAATGTAATCAGAAACACACATCCAAGAAAGGGTCACTGATAGAGCGCAAGAGGAGCTCTGGCCGGGTTAGGAGGAAAGGCGATGAGCCACAGGCCTCAGGGTACCACAGTGAAGGCAAGCCACTCTGCATTGCTTCTCTTTCTTCATTCACTCTGTCAAACCTTTTCCACACTCCAGGCTATTGGCTTCTCCTTTTGGCTCAAAGGGCTTTTCCTTGCTTTTTAGACATTGGGGTCTGGGTATTTGTGATCATTTTAAACATCTATATTTGTTTCATTCTTTTGTGTCTTCAGGAGAAACACTGAAAGAGAAGCAGGCTCCTAGGAATTCCTCCAAACCATCCAGCAGCACCAATAGGCTAAGGGATTTTAAAGAGACGGTCAGCAATATGATCCATAACAGACCATCCCTTGCTTCTCAGACCAATGTAGCTTCTCCCTTTGGGGGGAGGGGAGGAGGCCAGCATGACAAAAAACCTCCTAGGAACCTGCCTTTACACTCTCGTGACTGGGAAATAGAGAGTACCAGCAGTGAATCAAAATCCAGTTCTTCCAGCAAGTATCGTCCAACATGGAGACCCAAACGGGAATCTCTGAATATTGACAGTATCTTTAGTAAGGACAAAAGGAAGCATTGTGGATATACCCAGCTTAGCCCCTTTTCTGAGGATTCAGGTGAGGAGTTAATCAAGGAAGAATTGGGCTTTCAAATAAAGTTGATTTAGTATTTTAAAAACTTGGGTTTTCTGGTAGATCTGGCAAGAGGCATTTTTATTCTGATGTTGGGCTTTTCAGGGATATGAGTTCAGTGAATCAGCAGCTGGAGGGTGGGGGTGAGGGTGTGTGTGTGTGTGTGCACGGGCACGTGGTATTAGTTAAGTCTTGATTTTAGGCAAATGCTAAATCTTACCTCCTCTTCCATACTTGTTCTTTGTTCGGGATAGCTAAAGAATTTATACCAGATGAACTAAGCAAGCCACCTGCTTATGACATTAAAAGTAGTGGACCAAGCCCCCAGTACAAGCCCTGGGGCCCAGCACGGTCAGGCTCTCACCTTTTAGAGCAGCACCCTCGTTTAATACAGCGAATGGAATCTGGCTATGAGAGCAGTGAGAGGAACAGCAGCAGCCCTGTCAGCCTGGATGCAGCCTTGCCCGAGAGCTCGAATGTCTGCAGGTATTGTTTGGCCTTTGAATAGAGGCATTGTCCTTCACAGCAATGTAAGCCACCTGCTTGGGGCTTTCAACCATGACTTAGACAAGTGGAGGCGTGGGCTTTATTACCGTCTCTCTATGTGTTCTTTCAACTTTCTGTAGCAACAGCACCCTCTGCTGGTAGGAAGAGCAAAGGCACTTGAGAAAGGAGAGAGAACTTTAAAGGACAGTACTATGTATAACATAATTGTTTTGCTTCAGCAGTTCATATACTAAAATTGGAATGATAGAAGATTAGCATGGCCCCTGCTCAAGGATGACATGAAAATTTATGAAGTGTTCCATATTTTTCAGATGTGTAGGATGAACAAGTCTGGAGATCTAATGTAAAACGTTGAGGACTATAGTTAATAAAATTGTACTGTATATGGGATTCATGCTGAATGAGTAGATTTTAACTGCTCTTGCCATGCAGAAAAAAATGGGTAACTATGTGAGATGATGGATATATTAATCTGCTTCACTAAGTAACCTTTTTTCTATCTACATGTATCTCATAACATTGTGTTGTATACCTTAAAAAATATACAAATTTTATTTTAAAAATTGTTAGTAAATAACTTCTAATGAAAGAGTAAAGTTGTGAATTAAAACTTATATAATCGTAAGATCAGAGAAGAAACTCAACTCTTTTTTTTTTTTTTAGGTGTGTATCACTATGCCTTGCTAATTTTAAAAATTTTTTTTAGAGGATGGAGTCTTGCTATATTGCCCAGGCTGGTCTCAAACCTGGCCTCAAGTGATCCTTTTGGTTAAGCCTCCCAAAGTGCTGAGATTACAGTGTGAATCACCATGCCTGGCCAGGAACAACATTTTTACCATATTTCTTTTTTTATTTTTTTTGAGACAGAGTCTCGCTTTGTTGCCCAGGCTAGAGTGAGTGCCATGGGGTCAGCATAGCTCACAGCAACCTCAAACTCCTGGCTCAAAGCAATCCTTCTGCCTCCAGCCTCCAAGTAGCTGGGACTACAGGCATGCGCCCACCATGTTCGGCCGAATTTTTCTATATATATTAGTTGGCCAATTAATTTCTTTCTATTTATATTAGAGACAGGATCTCGCTCTTGCTCAGGCTGGTTTCGAACTCCTGACCTTGAGCAGTCCGCCAGCCTCGGCTTCCCAGAGAGCTAGGATTACAGGAGTGAGCCACTGCGCCCGGCCTTTTACCAATTTTTTTTTTTTTTTTTGAGACAGAGTCTCACTCTGTTGCCCAGGCTAGAGTGAGTGCAGTGGCGTCAGCCTGGCTCACAGCAACCTCAATCTCTGGGGCTCAGCGATCCTACTGCCTCAGCCTCCCGAGTAGCTGGGACTACAGGCATGCCACATGCCCGGGCTAAATTTTTGTTATATATATATTTTAGTTGGTCATTAATTTATTCTATTTTTGGTAGAGACGGGGTCTCGCTCAGGCTGGTTTCGAACTCCTGACCTTGAGCAATCCGCCCGCCTCGGCCTCCCAAATTGCTAGGATTAAAGGCGTGAGCCACCATGCCCGGCCCTTTTACCAATTTCTTAACCTGCCTTTTGCCTCCTGAAATTGAAGGAACTAGTGTTGCCATTATGATATATATTTTTCTACATCTTTTTCTATGTTTATACAAGTACATGAGGAAGTTTACCAGCATTTTTTTTTTTTTTGTTTTTTTTTTGAGACAGAGTCTCGCTTTGTTGCTCAGGCTAGAGTGAGTGCCGTGGCGTCAGCATAGCTCACAGTAACCTCAAACTCCTGGGCTTAAGCAATCCTACTGCCTCAGCCTCCCGAGTAGCTGGGACTACAGGCACGTGCCACCATGCCCGGCCAACTTTTATATATATATATTAGTTGGCCAATTAATTTCCTTCTATTTTTTATAGTAGAGACGGGGTCTCGCTCAGGCTGGTTTTGAACTCCTGACCTTGAGCAATCCGCCCCCGCCTCGGCCTCCCAGAGTGCTAGGATTACAAGCGTGAGCCACTGCGCCTGGCCTGTTGTTTTTTTTTTGAGACAGAGTCTCGCTTTGTTGCCCAGGCTAGAGTGAGTGCCGTGGCGTCAGCCTAGCTCACAGCAACCTCAATCCTCCTGCCTCAGCCTCCCAAGTAGCTGGGACTACAGGCATGCATCACCATGCCCGGCTAATTTTTTCTACATATATTAGTTGGCCAATTAATTTCTTTATATTAGAGACGGGATCTTGCTCTTGCTCAGGTTGGTTTCGAACTCCTGACCTTGAGCAATCCGCCCACCTTG